CGTGTGCTCTTCCGATCTCAATAAAATATAATTTAAATAATATCTATTTTTTTAAGTACTTGTACGTTATCATATTTATTTTGTGAACACACAAGATTTTTCTGCTATGATAATAATGTTATACATGAAATTTTCGATACTTGATTTGCAAAAAATATAAATTGTCACTTGCAAATATAAATGATAATATTACTTGCTTAGAAAAATACTTTAAAAAATGAAACAAATGTCTAATAAGGTATAATAACATTAAAGCAATTAACGAGTTCTAAGAAGCAGTTACTATAGGAATTTTCGAGCAGTTCAGCAAAATTGATTATGACGACAGTACAATTATATTAGAATGTTTGTTCACTTGTTTCCCAAAACTTATTTCCTTAAAAACATATCAAATATTTTTTGTTTAAAATTATTTTTTTATTATGTTGATTTTATACAAAATCAGTGAATTGTTTAAATGATTAAAACATTGATATGTTGATGTTATACGCATGCGGATACGTAATGAAATTATTAAAAAGAATATAATAAATAAATCTTTAAAAAACTTACGAAGCGCAGCTTTTCCAGTTGAGATTAATCCGAATATTGCAACGCTAAATACACTAATAGCGTAGAACAACATGTTCTTTCTTTGATTTAACCACGAATAGTTCTACTTACTGGTTATAAATGCTGAGTCTTATATAATTTCTGTTCTTAAACAACTTATATAATTTCTTAAGTAACATAATGAAATTGAATAACATTTACACGTATAAACACTAGAAAATAAAAAAATTAATCCTTTGATACGGTTGACACAGAGTTGTACCACATAATTCAATTGTTCAAAATGCAACTGCGAATAATATCAGCAGAGCGATCAGTGAAAAAAATGTTAAAAAAAAACCGACTTAATGAATAATAATAATGTGTATTCATAAACACATTCATAAACAGTAATCGCAGCATATCAAGTAATCCATACCTGATATGCTGCGTCAAGAAGAATGACTATTTATTAACTGTATTGAACTCGATCTCATGTAATAATGCTGCTGAATGTTCTTCCAATGTAAACATGTATATAAATTAAAATAATCGAGAATATTTCTACTAATGATGAGATATTGACAGTGACATTTTTATTAAAATTGATTAACGAGAAACTATTATACAATGACGTGTAACCATCATAATAATATTCATTTTTCTCATCTTTCTGTTTCTTTGTCAAAAAATTAAAAATTAATGATAGAAATTCTTTTCTAGCTACTATATAATCAGAAATTTGATAATTGCCTAAAATTGAGATACTAGTCTAACTCTTGTATAATAGAAAAACAGTGTCATTTATATGTTATGTAAATATATGAAATGCATGAAAAAAGAATGTGCATTAATTGCATTCTTGTTACACGTGTAGTAATCTTTGACTAATAACTTGGTAAGAAATAAAGACAAATAACTTGATAAAAAATAAGGACAAATTATGATATAATTTTTTAAATTCTTTTTTTTATAGAAGAATGCATTTTGACATAAAATTGTTATTCTCATTAAAAATTTGTTATTTTTATTGAATACATATAGTTTCTAGAGAAATACCAAAAACCAGGAGAGAAATAATTTGGCGTTGAAGTTAATACTATATGTTATTTATCTATTTTGCTTACAAATATTAATTAAAAAATAAAGTTTATATTATGGAATTTCAAGAAACATATTTCATACATCTTTAGCGTTTACAAAATTGAATACGCTTCTATCTTTATAAAATATTTGCAATTTTTTACATGTAATAAACACATTTTACAAAACTGAATATATGTTTATAAAATATTTAGAATTTTGTTAACGTATAATATATATAGTTTACGTAAATACTTCTGAGAATGGAACTTTCGAGAAAAATTTCTTGGGAATGGAAGCCAAAAAAGGATCCACTGTGGTAGCTGTGATTGGTAACATTAATCGATGTAATATTGGCCAGTACTCATTTACAATTTTTACAACATATACGACAATATCATCTGAAAATAAAAATTGACATATAAAAATATATAAAAAAAAAAATAAATCTATTATATATGAAAAGACAATAAAAATGTAGTATTTAAATTCTAAATAATTGACTTTTGTTTTATGACTTTATATTTGCAAAAAATAGGCACAATAAGTAAAAATTTTAAGATAAAGATAATAAAAAAAATTCTAATTTATCAGAATAAAATATTTTAAACTCCTTTTTTTAAATTAGTGATTGTATTTATCTTGTTTTATTTTATATTTGTAATATAATATTAAGTTATCCTGAAATTCCATTTGAAAGTTTGATGTTTTATGAAGATAGATTAATATTTATTGTTAAAATTTATGAATTATTTGGATATTTTAATTTATTTGTAAATTACACTAATTTATACAATTATTTTTGACTTTATATACGAATCTTTAACGTACAAATTAAAGATTAGTAATTTATTAGGCTTTCTCAATTGATTTTTATTAAAATAATGTGATTTACACATATTTAAATAAACTAGATATTTTTGTTGTAAATTCTATTACTGTACAATTACCGTAATGTACACTGGATAGTGTACTAAAAAAAATAGCATAGAATAAAGTTATATTTAAATTAATTTAACACTTACTAAACTCTTTGACCTCTTCTGACAAATTTCCGAAATATACGATATACTTTCTCATTGACGGAGCAGTGTAGAAATGTTCTATATTCCATGTATCGTTTACTACATGCCCTGTTAAATCCCACGTGCCTCTGATATCGTGTACGGTTTCATTATAATAGCCTATTACATAAATAACATGCATAGTTCAATAAACGGAAATTTTTCAATAAAATGGAAATAATTTAAAAAATTATAACTATTTGTTTAATAATTACCGAATTAGAAAATAGTAATTATTAATTTTTCATTATACATTTATGCACATCCATTTTTATATGTATATGCGTAGCGTTAAATTTATAAAATTATTATAACTATCTTAATTGATTGATAATAAAATTGTAACAAAACAGATTTTAGTACAGAAAATTCACTGTTTGATATACATATACAATTATTGTATAATTAATTATATATTGTATAATTAATTTTTAATCATTGTAAATAGGAATATATCGCAATAACGTATTTTTGCTGATTATACACAAGCTACGTAGAATTTATTGTATCTTACCTTTGCCACAGAATTTGAATATACTTATAGTACCATTTACTTCTATGTTAGCTTCTATGAACAACAGTGGTAATACTGCGTCAATTTCCAAACGGAAAACGTTATCATGAAAATGCGATCTCACGGCAGGAAAACGAATGGTCGATATACCGAGGGCAGTGAGATTTGATATAATTATTTCTCCACGTACGTTGTCTAAATCAACTGTAATTGGAAGATGTTCTAAGTACATTGGATCCAAAGGCGGAAAGTCATATTCAGGCAGTCCTACAAGTAAGTAAATTTTAATATCCATGTTTTTAATATTATATAATTTAATAAAAAAAATTTTTATATATAAACAATAGTAAGATAAGCTAGATCACGTAAGTGAATATCACAAATAATTTTAAGAGCGCCTTTTACGGTCGATGCTGAATTTTGGTGCTTAATAATATTTCTATATGAATTCTACATTCATTATTCAGCCTTTTTAAACTGCGCGTTGAAATCTTAATATATTTCTTTACTTTCTTTTAAAATTTAAACAATTAATAAATTTATAGAAATTTATTTACTATTAATGTTGCTTAATATTTTTCCTAGCATTACAGTCATGTAATTTTGAGTAATAAAATATAAAGTAATTCATATTTCATTTAAAATTTTATATAAACTGAAATAACGAAAATTTAAATATATAAGAATACCTGCACTAAACCGTGGCCATGCTTCTTCTATAGAGCGTTGTAAACAGTCGGCAAAATCAACTGAATTCCGCTTACAAGGGGTAAAAGCTAAAAAAAATAAAAACCGAATAAAATAGTAATAAAAATATATAAATGCAACAATTGCTTTACTAAAAAATTATAATTTTAAAAATATCTATTTTTTCAAGTACTTGTACGTTATCATATTTATTTTGTAAACACAAGATTTTTCTTCTATGATAATAATGTTATGCATGAAATTTACGATACTCGCAATTTGCAAAAAATATAAATTGTCACTTGCAAATATAAATGAGTATATTACTTGTAAGTATTAGAAAAATACTTTAAAAGTGAAATAAATGTCTTAAATAATTAGATATAACTTTAAAATAATTAACAAGTTTCAAGTAGCAATTATTATAAGAATTTTCAAGTAGTTCAGCAAAATTGATTATGATGATAGTACAATTATATGTTAGATAGTACAATTATATGTTATTTGTTCACTTGTTTCCTAAAACTTTTTCCTTAAAAACTTATTATATATTTATTGTTTAAGATTATTTTTATATATATTATTTTGGTTTTATACAAAATCAGTGAATTGTTTATATAATTAAAACATCGATAGTTGATGTTATAGGCATGCAAATACGTAATGAAAATATCTTATTAAGAAGAATATAATTAATCTTAAAAACACTTACGAAGCGTAGCTTTTCCAGCTGAGAATAATCCGAATGTTGCCACGCTAAATACACTAACAGTGTAGAATAACATGTTTCTTGTTTAAGTTTCTAGTAAATAATTCTATTTATAATGAATGCGAAATCTTATATAACTTCATTTCTCAAGGCCGCGTTGTAAAATCAAATGAGGCTAAAGTGCATACAAACTGAAGTAAAAACTTTTATACGATGAAAACGTTAAAATGTACATAAGCGTTAGATTTATTATTTCTATGATAAAAAGATATATTATGCTTTTATAATTCTTTAAAAAAAATATACATATTATGTTTGCACATATATATTTTTTGTACATATGTGACATATTTAAAAAATGGTGTTGAATAAATATGCCATTTTATTTAGAATCAAATTGCAAACAAAGTACAGTTTATAAGTTGAAATATATATATTATCAACATGTTTTTGAAAATAAGTTTCTATAAATTCTCAATATAAATATTTGCAAAATAAGCAAGAATTGTTTCTTTTATGTGCAAAAATTAGTAAATTAAGAAATTAAAAGGCAATTTTTGTGTACTCAGTATTAAAAAATATTTGAAAATATAAATTAATAAAAAAAAAATGATTCCGTATTTGTCTTAATTTTGAATTCAAATAACTCTACAGTCTAACAACTTATTATGGTAAATTGACGCGATATTATTAGTTATATAAGTAATGCATGATAATCAATGTAATGTTCACGATTAAACAAAATTGGAGGATGAGTTTAATATTGTTGCAACTGTTATGCTAATTCGAGCTACACGTGAAAGATTTTATTTGAGGCGTACAAGTGAATAAAAAATATTTATTTATAAAAAATATAAATGTTTAATATTTAACACTTTGCGGACATAACCTATTGTGCTTATAAGAGAAAATGGAAAATTTTATTCTAAAAACGAAATAAAATATTTCAACTTTAATAGATGCTTTTATATCAGCATGTGTTTATGGTAAAAAATATGCGGCGTAGTTCGTGGTTTGTGTCAGTTAGATAGTGTAACTGGGTAATATATATCTAAAGCGCAAAGTGTTATTAGCATTCTACGAACATTTCAACAACGAAGATATTCCGATGTGTCGTGACCAGCATCTATGTATGATGTAATCTAATATGTAATTCGTCTAGTAACAGAAATTCTTTTGCCTTCTATACATTCTCATATACATATGTATTGTATATAAATGTGAGAATAATTTTTGAAGAGCAACATAAAGCAAAGTTAGATGTAAGTAAATGTTTAATATGGCTTGTATTACGTAAAATTGAGGCAACAACTAAATTAAAAATGTTGTAGTATTGAAATAATATATTAATTATGATAACAAAATAACAAAACAGAAAAACTCAAATTGAATGTTTTATAAGGATGTCTTTTAAGATGGTTTTATCACGCAAGTCCCAGTCAAAAGTTAGCCCCTCCATATGACTAATAATTCAATAAAATCATTTCTCATAGACTGTACATATGCGATTGTGTGACGTTTATGTGACAACGTCACATTATCGAGTTGGCGTTGAGCAATAAGACCACCTTAATAACACTGAAAAGTGATTATTACAATTGTTTTCATCTACTTCTACGAAATTGATTGTAACATTTGTGACACTTGCACTTCCCGAGATACCATGACAGATTTTTTTTCCTTATCAATCATTTATTCATTGTCTCATAAACATGTTTTGTTCGATTTTATTATCTCTTTATGCAACTTTTTATATCGATTTTGCACAATAAACTTTTTATGAAAATAAAACAAACACTGATACAAGATTTGACATATAAAAGAATATTAAAATATATAAAATGTACTTTCACAAAAACGACTCACGAAGCACAAGCTCTTCCACTGCACGTAATGTAATGTCGCAACGATGAGTGTACTAAGCACGTATATATATCACTTGGTTAATGTAATCATTTTGCAAAAACCTTGAGAGATTGTAAACATCAGTCTTATATAATTTCTGCTGTTGTTAGTAAAATGAAAAAACATTAGTGTCAACACGTAAGATGTAAAAAAGTTAATACTTTAGCAAGTTAAATTATTTACTATTCTAATAATATCATTGATAGCATTTTTTTTAATTATAAGCGTAAATAAAAAGTTTAGTAATCCTTTAATGCGTAATGATCATTTTATTTTATTAAATTTGCTTTATAAGCTGCGAATTTTATTAATTATTTGCCATGTAGTAAATACTCTCTAAATTATCTGAACTAAATCTCACTCCAAAAGATTGAAAGTATTTAACTAAAAAGCTGCAAAATATTATATTCAATTTAAATTTGATACTGAAAACTTGGTTTTTAAACAATTGCTTTTTAAAAAAACAAGAAATAACAAATACGTGATGCGCCACGTCTAAAATCGTATAAAAGACTTATTTTTGACAGAATATAAAGAAAACACGGCAGCCAAAACGGGAGACTGTCTGGTCATCTAAGAATATTATAGTATTATTGAGAATAATAAATCCTCGAGGATGAGCCGGAATTAATTGCAGGACCGATTGCAAGCAATTTACGACACTGATTGCAGCCGAGATGAGAGAACCATCTTGGGAAAATCTTTCGGACGACGGAAGTGAAGGAAAGCGGTGCCTCGCTATCTTTCTCTCTCGTATCTCGCCTCTTCTCTCCTTTGAAACGCGGATTTGAATCTACGTTTTACGGCGCAATTAATTCCCCAAGGAGAGTTGCATTTCTTGCTCCGTCGGGGCAAGGAAAGGGATTTGCGAACGGCAAGGCTTCCGGAGTCCCATAGGAACTTGGCAACCGGACAGAGACGGCGAGCGCAAGGAAGGGAAAGAAATCAGGCGGGTGGGATAGAGTCACGGGGTTGCGGAGGGAAAAGACCGACGAGGAGATGGCAAACCGTTTCTATAGGACTAAGGGATACACGATGTCTCCGTGACGGTATTATCGACGACCGCTAAACACACCCCGCTTTATCCCTGTATAGTCCTGTAAAGTTAATGATTTAAGACTGGCTCCCGTGTTGACGGGATTCATTTTTCTGGGATTGGAAAGAAGCGATAAATACATAAACGATGAGTTTCTCAGCCGTTGAAAATATATGACTAGAAGCGCATTTTATCGCGCGTTTACGTGAAAACAATTAATATGTGAATTTTCGTTTTTTGCACGGAATTGTTAGAAGTAATTGAAAGTAAATGCTTACTTATGTATCATCGCAATATTGTCATTTTCGACAACATTTTATACGCTTTGTTAAAATAAATTATAATACATTGTAAATAGTTAAATACGATTAAAAATCATCTGTTAAGAATTATCGTTGATCTTTAATTTATTTTAATAAATATGATATTTTTCTTAATATAATTTTTATTAAATATATTTTAAATATGTAAATTATAATTAGCTTTTTCACAAAAAGATCAAATTGCATATAAGTTACTAATATAATTAGTAGAAGAAAAATTAAATTTCCTCTGTCGAGATGCAGTGAAAACGTACTTAGGAATATTATTTCAGAAATAACAAGAATTTAAGAGCTGACCACTTAGTAGATTATTTTGTACTCGACGCGATAGCTATACCGCAATCAAATAAATTATTTTAAATATTACTTAATTTTTGTTAATATTATTATACATATATTAATATGATAATAATTACATATTGATGATAATTATTTAATAAATTTATATTTTAAAGTTAGAGTTCGCGTTGTAAAATTAAATTTTTGGTAAAATAATGTCTCTAGAATAAACTTTCTATTATGGTGTTACTTAATTTTGACACATATTTCTTCTTTTTTTTCGAACTTCAGAATATACGCAGGTAATTTTCTTTGTAATTCTAATAGTGAGTAAAGTTACAGAATTTCACAACAAAGAATTCTTTCAGGATTCATTTGTCGGATTTTCCTGCAGGGAGATGGAAAACACGACTATGGCGAGCGATCTCATAATTCCGGCTACTTTTCGCACGCGGAATTGAGCGTGTCGAAGGGATTAAATCATTCAATCGCGACACTCGCCGCCCCCATACGAAGTATCCCATATGAGAGTTGCGCTTTCCTCGGCGGCGATTCCTGTATAATTTGCAATTCAGAAGATTTCTATATCCGCGCGCGGATTCGCCGGAGACCTGTGTATTGGAGAGCGCGAAGCCTCGGCGTCTCTGCCTTTTGCCAAGCTCACGTCGCAGCTTCGGGGACAAGCGGTACGGTGTACGGGACACGTCGCCAAAGCAACTTCTTATTCGCGCGTGGAGAAGTGCCGTCGACGGAGCCGCTTTTCCTGCCCGCTAGGGAAATCCGATACGAAGTCTATCCATGTATATTTGAGGACCTGCGGCGTTACTCGGCGCTCGGCAGAGCATGTTGCTTGCGCGAAGCGGACAGAACTCTACCGACCTATTTACAACTGTTCGGCTTGCCGTCAGTCCGCCCAAGATTTTGATCGGTCTGCGATACGACGAGTATAAATTTTGTTGAACAAGAGCGGGACAAGTCTACAGTTGGTTTATGTACTTTAAGCACGTCAGTTTGATGGGTGAAGTTTAAACTGACATATGCCTTAAAAGAAACGTAAGTATTATAACTACAAAATAACTCATTTAAATGGGAATAACTATGGCTCGTTTAAATCGGAACAATATTGAGAATTTTTCATCTTTTTGCTATAAATGAACATGGAATTTGGGACTTTAATATGTCATTACATTTCGTTCAATGTGTATTACATCATCAGTATGAACAATGCGTTTTCTTGTAATACTAGATTAATTTAAGACTCATAAACTTCTAAGTTTAAATAGGTTCACCGCAAATCATCAAATTTGTACATAAAGTATATCAAATGAAATTTAGAAAGAAGTTCAAAAGACAAAGAAAGATATAAAGAAAATCAGTAAAGCAAAGGAAAATCTTAGGATATCGTGTAACGTTTTGACGACAATTTAAAAATATTTTAGATATAGTTTTATTTTTTAATACTGTGACATTATATAATATTGAATAATTGAAAATAAAACATTTAATATGACGTAATTAATTATGAATATTTTATAATATATAAGTAAGGACTAAATCTTAATAAATGATTATTATTTTTATACAACGTGTTTCTGCATTAACAATTTAAGAGTTGTCAATTTAATTGCATAAAACATTTCTCTTTGGTTTTCACGCGGTT